GCCCCGCGGGCTGAGCCTGGCGATGCTCCCGGCCCCCGCAGCACCAAAGCACGGGTACAGGAGATGGAGCTGAAGGGACAAGGACAGGGACAAGGAGAGCAGCACCCGCCTGTGGCCCCAGGGACCCTGCCTGCTCCCCCACCAGCCTGGGACAGAGAGGGGGACGAGCCAGGGCCCAAGCCTCTGTCCCCATAGGGTCAGAGCATCGCGTGTAGCCTGGCCCCACGCTGCTGCTCCCCCTCCGATGCTGCCCCCCCACCCCTTCACCAGCCCAAGGAAGAGAAACAACACATCGGTGCAGCTCAGCGTTTCACACCCAGGTTTATGCCCTGGATACACACAAGTTGTGTTTCTGTGATATATAGATATGTATCTATGTACATATACATGGTTTTCCTTTTTTTTTTTTAATTCCATGGCTTTAAGTTCCACACAGTTGAACAGGCTCCAGAGGAGGAAGAGCAAAGAAGGGGGGGGTGGAATGAGGAGGAACAACTCGGGGCTGCTTTGGTTATTTCCTTACTGCTCAGGTTTGCTGTCGGGGGTTCCGCGCTTTGGAGGGTCACGAGCCGCCCTCGGGGCCGGTAAGGCTGTGGATAAATCCGGGGGAGCCAACACCAAAAAACCCCCGAGGGCAGAAGTGCCACAGCACCACGCCTCCCGCGGGAGGTTGGGCACCCTCGTGCCCGGTCAGGAGGGAAATTCCCCACCCAGGGAAGAGGGGAGTCAATAGGATCCAGCAAACACAAGGAGATGACCGGTGACAGCTCAGGGCGAGGAGAAATGTTGTCTGCCCTGGGGACACGGGGGGCGTTTTTGTCCTGGAAGCAGAAGCGGAGGATGGATGTGGAAGGCAAGGGCAGGTCCTCCTCCCCGCCGCGGGATGCGTGCCCTTGGGCAGGTGAGCGGGGATGGGCTGGAAGAGTTCTTTCCCCAAGGTGCCACCTTTCCAAAATGTTTCCTGTTCCCTGTGTCATGTTCTTTCCAAGAATAAAGTCTCAGGGGACAACTAACGCCACGGCCAGGCTTGGCAGCTGAGCCGGGGCTGCCCGGCCCAGGCGGGTGCGGAGGGCAAGCCAGGCAGCCCGGGGGGCACAAATTTCCCGGATAAAATTTCCAGTGGCCTCAGGAAGAGGCGAGGAGCTCTCAAGCATCGGGTTCAAGGCAACAGCACGCAGCTCCCGTGGCTGGCGGAGGTCGGGCGGGCGAGGGGGATGGAGGCAGGAGGAGGAATGTGCGGGGCCCAGCCCACGGGAGCCGGCGTCTGGTCCTTTAGGAATTGCTCTTGTGAAGTCAAAAGGAAAAAAAAAAAAACAACCCACCAAAACCAACCAGAAAAATCACCATTAGTGTTGGCAAACACCCGTGCCGGGGAGGTGGCCGAGCTGCATAGAGAAGACTTCATCTCAACATGGCAGGGGAGGGAGAAGGGGGGGGCCTGGAGAAAGTGCTTTAATCACCGGGGAGGAAGGAGCTGGGAGAGGAAAGGCAGGAAAGCAACCCAGGAGCGGGGCTGAGCGAGCAGCGCCGACGAGCGGGGGTACAGGCAGTGATCCCCCAGCCTCTCCTTCCCCAACCGCTTACGGTGCGCAAGGCTCTTGAGCCACCCTCAACACTTCTTCTTGAGGAGCTCCTGGAGATAGCGGGCGACCTCTGCAGCCGACTCCCAGGGGACAACAGTGGCCTGGAAGGCTCCAGGCTGCTGCTTCTCCATCTCTTGGGTCATCCGGTGCATGGGGTAGCCCTTCCGCGGGAAAGCCACATCAGCTGAAGTCAACGTCACGGAAGGACAGAAGTCGTTGGCCCCATCTCCCACGTAGAAGACCCTCTCGAACTCCACCTCCTCTTGGGCTCTCTCTGCCAGGTACTCCGTGAGGATTTTGCGTTTGCACATGTTGGCCGGGCAGTCAAGGCACTTGTGGCTGTGGTAGGGCCCCAAGGTGAAGTACCCCTTCTTGTCAAAGCCGGATGGGTTGCTGAAGACCTTGCGGAAGAGGGAGTAGAAACCGGCCGCCCTCAGTTTGCATTCGATGCCAAACATGTTGGCATCGGAGATGAGGATGATCTCAAAGAGCTCGTGGTTCTTGGAGAGGAACTGGAAGAGGTCTGGCATGCCGGGGGACAGGGGGATGGTCTCGTAGACAGTCTTGAAGTCCCCCATCTTGACCCCCTGGTCCCCCATGTACGCCAGGACGCGCTGCATGTACTCGTTGTAGAAGCCCTCGCGGAAGGTCTGTCGGATGTGCTCTGGGAGCGCCTGCCCCGGCGCTGCCCGCACGATGGAGTCATCGCTGTTCTCGTTGATGATGGTCTCGTCGAAATCGAAGATGAGGAGGTATTTGGGAGGCCGGGGGCTGGCCATACCAACGCCCTGTGGGGCGGAAGGATAACGCCCAGCCGTTAGTTCAAGGCACTTTGCTCCGGCCCTGGCACAGCGATGGTGGCAACCACAGCAGCCTGAGGCCGCCAGCCCTGCAGAGCAATGCTCCTTGCCTACCTTGCCCCCAGGGCAGCTTCTTAGCCCAGCTGGGCTTGCCGGGGCTAAACCCCCCCCCCCCCCCCGCTGACATGCCTCAGCCCCGGCCCTAAGGCGTTTATCCTGCCTCTAATGAGATCGTTTTGTCACCGCTAATCCCGTCCCTGCAGTCAAGGTGGTCACTGTGCCGAGCTGCCACCGCACACGTCCTCCCAAGGGACGCAGGGACAGCACGCGCCTCGGGGGGTTTTGTGCAGGGAGGGTCCTGGGGGTGTGTGTGCGGTGTGTGTGTTTACTCCCCAACCTCTCCTGTCCCACCTCTGAGAAGGGTCTTGTGTCCCTCTTGCTGCCAGGACGAGTCTGGCTCTTCCCGACAGAGGAAAACACTTTGTAGGTTGATTTTTGCTCCATCCCCTGGATGCACTTTCCCTCTGGGTCGGGCTCCGCAGGCTCCCGAGAAGCCCGGGATAACTCAGAGCTGGCTCCTGCCCCACTCCAAACCCCAAGCAAGCCCCCTCAGCCACCACGGTGCAAAGCTGGCGAGCCCA